ATTAATATCCAATCACTTGGCCCATTTTTGGTACTCCAATGCTTGGATCTAATGTTTATCTAATTGACTTGCTATTGATCTTAACTATTTGTGCAGTTTTAGATCTAATTCCTAGAGGCACTAAGACTCGAGTTTCACATTCATCTAATTATACAAATAATCCGTGGTGACTTGTTCCTCGTGCTCTTTCAACTTTCTTGGACCTAATATCTAACCTTGTTGTGGATGTTTGGAAGATCTTTATGTTATTTCACCTTTCAATGAATGCCAATCTCTAACTGACGATACTTGAATAACATAAGATTTACATTACATTTAAGAATCATAAGAATTTATATATTGAACAACACACTTAAGCATTATGTGTAATTTAATTTAGAGATCTCAAATTCATATAGAACAAGATAGTAAGAATTAGATGAATTTTATCATCAATATTTGGATTTTGTGCATCAAATAACATGACACTTAAGAATTAGATGAATTTATACTTTGAGATTTGAATTTTATATATTGAAACGTGACACTCAAGCTATATGGGCACTCATGCTCAGTATAAAAAGGGTTTCAAGATATGATTGAAATTTCACTGAGATCATAATAGAAAATGAATTTGAGCTCTTCACAGAGCCATATTTTAGATAGTAAGAATTAGATGAATTAGATCATTTTATTTATTTAATTTTCAAATTTAACTTAAATTGCATTTGATTATTAATATATTAATGTTATATATCATTTTTGATAAGTTTAAACTATTTTATTTTAACANNNNGTAAACTATTTTAACATATTGATTTTTAATTTTTGAAGTATCGAGACTAATTGTAGGATAATAAAGCTAATTAACAAAGATAGATTTACTTTGAATTATTAATATGAAAATTTTAAAAAAAATTAATATTTTCATAGTATTTTATTATTTTTGTATGTATTTATTGCATCCGGTTTGATCCTAGTTCGACCCTAGTTGAACTTTTTGATCCTTGACCCTTCACCTTTTTCGGGTCGATGACCGGGTCGGTTTTCAAAACATTGGTGATACCAATGATGTAGTCCTTACGAAAATGGAACGAGGTTTTTTGAACATGCAAAGTTTGATTTAATCTAAAGAAGTATACAAAAGAAAGAGGAAAACAAACCAGCCATTCCAAATAAAAAGTAAATCAAAGATTATTTTTTTCTCATTCTTGAGGAAGTGCATATCTTACTCTAATAGTTTTTGAATGTTACTTCACTCCAACTAATTACACCCTGCGGCGGATAAATGTTAAAAGTATTTTGTGGCAATAAAATAAAATACAAAATTAGGGGACATAATGTTGAATTTTTATGAAAACTTAAGCTTTATAAAAACTTCATAAATTTGAAAACTGAATTATTTTATTATCAAGACCATCCGTATCAAATCATCAAAAGAACTATTAAATGCAAAGCATACCTTAATTCATTGGGAATAATTCCTTATTACTGGATCTTAAATCTTGAAGTTTGAATTGTAATTTTTTCATGTTTGGCTTCATCACTTTTAATCTTGAATTTTGCATCCTTTGATTATTTAATTCTTGCTCTTAGTCGCTTCTTGATCCATATTGTTGGTTCTTGAATTCCTTTTTCTTGATTGTTAATTGTAGATTTCCAATTCTTGATAGTGAGTTTTAGATCTTCCTCTTCAATATGTTTTTTTCTTTTTTTTTTTTTTATCCTCATATTGATGTGATGACACAAAAAATGAGAAAATTGCATATGAATTGGGAACAATAACTCTATATATAGTTTCTATATCTATTTGGTCCATCGTCAAATGCAATCATAATGGATCGTATCACTTTAATTTTGAGCTTAACTTTAAGATAGTTTTTATACACAATTAATTATATATGTTGACCCACGTGACAAATTAAATGTTTTATCAACACATAAAACGTGAACTCTTATTTTCATAAAGGTTTACAGGACTCGAAAGTGTGCCCGCAGTTGTTTTCATAATCACTATCCTCAATAAAACGCGCCAGTATATGTCCATAACTCATGTCTCCAATTCCTTATAGATATCTCGATGTATATACTAAAGTTGCCTCCTGCACAATCTCGTGCCTTAGGAATAAAGCTAGAAGATCAAAATATAAATAACAAAACTTCCATTATTATACCTTATAATGACAAGTTATCATAATCCACATGCCAAATTGGTTTCATTAAGAGTAACTTTATATAAGTTCTATAAATTATACAGCCCTGCTTGTTGTACCGGGTCAGGGTGACAAACACTCTGACAGGCCCCTCACATCAGGGGCCCCACATTTTTTTTTTCAATTTTTTATACATGTGAGGACCAGCATCATGTGAGAGTGTGTCAACTTTTTTGTCAAATTTTTTTTGTACAAGTAGCTTTTTTGTAAATTATATATGCAGTG